AGGTCGAACTCCAATTGAAGATTACCCCAGGAGTTGTGGAAAATATGCATGATGGTCCCTCACTCACAGGTTCTGCATCTGTCGGTGAGGGTGGGTCTCCAGCATTTCAAATTTTAAACCACAGACAATTCTGTCAACTACTCTCTGAGATACGACTGCTAATGTTTCCTCTTGGTCACTGGTTGGGATTGGAGTTTCTCAAAGTTGGCTGCTTATGATTACTTAAAATGTGCCAAACACATGGCTGTTGCTTTAGTTCAGTCTTGTCATCACACCCCAACCCTGTGACTATAATTTTCTCAATGCCTCTCTGCCCTCAGCCCCTCTTCCACCTCGCCAATGAGTGCCATAGAAATATCTTCTTAAACCCAAGTTTCTCAACCCCAGTACTACTGGCATTTGGGGCTGAATAATTCTTTGTTGAGGGGGGCCATCCTGTCCTTGTTGGGCATTTAGCAACATTCATGGCCTCTACCCACTAGAAACCAGTAGCATCGTCAGCTCCAATTATAACAACCACAACTGTCTCCAGTCATTGCAAAATGTCCCTTTAGGGCAAAGTTGACCTTGGTTGCAAACCACAGTTCTTAAACCTTAGGGAAGAATGGGTTGGTGTCTTCTGTTGTACAAATGTTTTATCATGGAGTTCAAACACCTACATGATTTATCTGCAAACCACATTTCCGGCCTTGTCTACTGTTAAACTCCTCGATGACCCTCCCTCTTCACCACATTAGCCCATTCACACCTCTGTACGTTTGCTTTTCCTTTTTTTCTCAGGCCTTCAGTATCTTTTCTTTTCTGCTTGCTTGCCCAGGAAAAACTGACTCCTTCAAACTTAACTCAGAATTCATTTTCTCTCAAGTTTTTCTGGATTTTCCTAATTATCTCAACTCCTTCCTTGTGTACCACATGTTTACTTCTGCTGCTACCTAGAACTTCTTCAAACTTGTCCTGAAACCCAAATTTTGCCCATCTCTTTCCCTTAGATTGCAAAGACCGGATCTTATTTCTTCCCAGGTCACTAACACATAGCATAGGTGAAGCACAAGTTGGTCCTTCATAACATCTGTGCAAATAAATTAAAATTTGACATTTAAAGGTTACCAGAGAATAAGTATTTTTTTAAATCCATATATTGTCACTGACTCACCAAGAGTAATGGAAATAAAATTAAACGTGTGTGCTATCGACCTATAGCGTTATACTTAGAGCCATCAACATTTCAGAACATTTAAGTTGCATTCAGTCCTTAACCAGAGTTAACACCAGTAAGAACAAGTGACCAAACTACTCATAAGCAGCCTATACTAAGTAAAACCACCCCACTCCCAAGCCAGCCCAAGAGCTATTTTCACTTTAGTGTTTCTCCTTTCCTTTAATAGATCTAAATTACACCTCACATCATCTTTGAAAAGCACTGACTCGGGTAGGAGCTGCGTTAGCACCTTTGGTGGAATTGTTACAAAGAGAACTCCCAAGGAGTTCTAGGTTTTAGGAATTCCTCTATTATTGGCTTCACAATTACAATAATCGACAACAATTAACTTGTCTGCATTTCCCTCCCATTGCCTAGTGCCCTTACTTGATGTTGCATAACAAACGCATCCAGTTGACCCTAACCATCCAGTCTCAGCCTCAGGTCTCAAGGGCTTATTTCTACCACCTTAACTACCTGAAATTCAGAGAGAGATGGAGACAAGGGCTTAAGGAGGAAGTGGGGACCACTGAGGAAGAAATAGCTGTGGTGGTAGAGGCCCTTGGAGAACTTCTGCTTTCATTCATAAGGTGTAAACATTTTAACCGATAACCTGGAGGAAATAAAACCAAAACAAAGAGGACCTTCCTTCCTCTTGGAGATCTATAATTGCCTAGAGTTTACCAATATAGACCGCCTAACTTCTGTCATTTGGATTTCTTTAAACACATAACCTCCATCTAGGTGATTGGGCTCCTGCTTAGAAAGAGAGAGGGCTGAGAACATGAATTCAGGTGACTTAGTTTAGCTTGGTCCAGGTCTTATCAAGTGCAAATTGTGTCACATGCATAGTTTTCTTCCTAACTTCAGTGTTGAAGTTACAGAAGGAAAGGCGAGGATGATTTAAAATCTGGAAAGATCTCTGAAGAGTTAATTGTTCAATGACAAAATGACTCCTGACTACAATTGTTCCTCATCTAAAGTGCAAATAAAATAGTGGGAAACAATATAAGAAAAAGAAGTATAAAAAATGCTTCCTGTTGCATTTTTAAAGAGCATTTGCAATGGACATTTGATGCAAACCCAATCAGTATAATTTAATGCTATAGTATTTATGTCAATATTAATGCCTTCTTTTTATGAAATATTACAGAAGGGATTATATCTGAAATGACAAGAAAAAACTTCTGTTAGCAAACCATAAGTTCCTTTTTCCAGTAGTTACGATTCTCATATGATTTATGTCACAGAGAAGTGAGGCAGCTCATACAAATCTTGTATTTTCTTGCTATCTGGTTATCTGTGTTTAGACATCTGCTTTTTAAGTATCAACTCATTTATTTCTTATCACCACACACTGGGTTTGTTCCATTTTACCTATGTATCTAAATACACATATTTAGACTCATGTGTGCATGCAGACTTTAATTTGGTTGGAGGCAGAGATATTACAAGAGTCTATCAAGCACCATGTTTCTTTCCCATAACCATCATATGATGAAAAATAATGTCAACAGTTGTGCAAGTGCAGTATGACAAGTGTGAAAGCCCTAATTGGTCAATTGGACCAGAATGATGAGTTGCTTTTTTTTTTTTTTTAAACCAATGTCACTTCTAATCTATTACAACAGTAATGAACAGCCAGACAGCCCATTTCCCACGGATATCTTCAAAGCTCTACAGATTGCCATTTGAACCATTCTTTAATTGCATTTGGCACAGATTGTAGTATGCTCCATAGAACCAAGAAGGCGTGTTAACTAGATTTGGCTATCCCTAAGTCACTATAATGATGAGGCTTTATATGACTAAAGGGATTTAGCTTCAGTCTTTCCTCTCAACTGTTATAACCACCTAACATACAGTAGTTGCCTGAAAATTTGAATTTTTATGACAGTGTATTCACTTTTTAAGGTTTATTGGGTTAATAGGAATTAAGAGTATTTTTTGCTTTTGTTTTTTGTATTTGTTTTTGGTTTGTGTGTGTGTGTGTGTATGTGTGTGTGTGGCTTGTCCCATCTTGGATGTAAAATTTTCTGGATTTTAATTATCCAGAATTTTATTTTGATTATAAAATTGGAAGTGATCCAATAGTATATATACTCCAAGATTTTTCTCAAAAGTTTATCTTTTATCTGTTAGGGGATTTTGTTTTTGAATTTATTTTGCCATTGATCAATACATATTTTGCTTTCTACTTTGTCAATTGTCTTATCTCCATTGTTAATGTATAATCCATGCCATTTAAAAAATTTCTGTGATAATTGGGAGGGATGGCTATACAATATCCTCCTCCTGGGTCAGTGATATCACTAACCATTTCCATTCAGCTACTTTGGCTCAGCAGAGACACTGACTTGACTCTTGGGCATAGAGAATAGGGAGGAGACATGGTTCCCTTCAGGCTGACCTCTAAGAGGTGATGATGTACAATTTGCAATGGAAGGTGATGATGTACAATTGGAATAAGGTAATAATGGACATTTTAGAGTGCTCATTCAGAGCACTTCTGATAAAACATGGAAGACTGAATATATACTTTTCTTCTGGTTTCTCTCAAATATGCTCCTAAAATGACTGTAAAGGAACAATAAAAACAAGACAAAGGCATATCCCACCAGGGAGAAGGAGGTAGCAATTCATGATGGATGCCAACAACATTTTGAAAGCTTTAAGTGGATGAGTGGTAACTGGTAGAGCTAACTGGGGACTGTTCTAAGATAAGTGACTGGAAAGCAGAGCATAAGCCAACAAGAACCATGTTGTTTCATTCAGCTGAATCTCAGGCAGCCTTAGGAATTGAGGCACTAGGTATCTTTGAAGGCTGAAGAGTTGTAGAGTCAAACCCATATGAAATAATTGGTTTAAAGTCTTTAAGACAAGTAGCCAAATTTCCCCCTCCACTCCACATAACCAGGAAAATGACCCTCTTCCACCCAGGCAGAAAGCCAGAGGTTTATTCCTTTGAAAGGTTGACTCTCAGTGGATTGGGTCCTAAGGCACGGCTGAAGGAAGGCATGAGGCACCAGACTGGAAACAAAACGATCAAATCAAAGTCTACAAAAGGGCCATTGAGAGCCCCCAGGTTTCTTACCTCTCTCAGCTGCTAGAACATGAGCAATGTGGCTGAATATCTTCCCCACAACCCCTTCACACTCCTACCCCACCCTGTACACATCTTTGGAGGTCTTTTCTTTGGAAATACTAAAGAGCACCAAATAGGGACCTAATGGTCTTGACTTTGGGCGCTCTCCCAACAAAATATTGGGTACCCACTAAACAAGTCACCAGGAAGTAAGTCCCATCTCAGCACAAAGAATTCCCAATTTGCATTTTGGTGCCTCATTTTAAGATATAATAATAGCCAAATGTTTCTAGGACTTGAGGAAAGCCTCTAACATGAAAGACAGAGATCACTTAAAAAATATTTTGAAAAACTATATTTAGAAATTAATTTTTCATGGGGGTAGAGGATTTACTTTTTAAAAGTTTATTTATTTATTTTGAGAGAGAGCACAGGAGCAAGGGAGAGGCAAAAAAAGAGGGAGAGAGAATCCCAAGTAGGCTCTGTGCTGGCAGCGCAAAGCCTAATGCAGGGCTTGACCCCACAGGCCGTGAAATCATGACCTAAGCTTAAATCAAGAGCAGGGCGCTGAACAGACTGAGCCACCCTGATGCTCTAAGGATTTACTTTTTTAGTCAACAGGGTAGTATACATTACCAAAAGTGCAATATCTTTCAAAGAAGCCCCTATTATAGTTACATTAAACTAGGCATCTATAAACTGTTAGGAATATCTAGAAATAGGATAATTCTCCTAGATTAATACTTTCTTCCTTATTAATGGGATTAGATGTTGAGTTCTGAGATTAAATCAAAGCCAGTTTCTGGAATTTGATTATTTTCTGGGGAATAGTTTTAGCTGATTTACAGAGGTTAGGCCACTTTTTATTTTTTGAATAGTTATCTTGAAAGAAATACTGTGGTTTGGCCCAATTTTGGTTACTTCCATTTTTTTTTATGCTTTTAGGATTTAAAAAAAAAATCTCTAGAGTCAAGCTTTATGCCTGCATGTTTGTCCTCAAGAAAAAATAAAAAAAAAAAGAGGAGCAAATCTTCAAGCATTTATGAAAAACTATCATGTTCAAGGATGGTTAAAAACAGTTCTAAAGGTATCTATGTTTGCATGCAGTTTAAGGATTTTCAATTAAAGAGGAGGCTATTCTAATTATTAACCAATATGAGCATGCAAGTGGTTAATATTGGTAATTATTATTTCAATCATATGCATGCCACCGGTGGAGTAGGAAATAACTTGAACAATTTAAAAAAATACTATAGGGTCCTTGTTCTGTTACTTACCTTCCTGTGTCTAGAAACATTACTTAATTACATGACCAAATATGCCTATAAATAAAAGTGAGAAAATAAACCATCTGCTGTAACTACTTATGAGGTTGGAAACACACTTCAACATGAGATGGCATTAAAATTTTTTTTAATGTTTATTTAATTTTGAGAGAGGGAGAGAGCAAGTGAGCACTAGTGGGAGGAGGGACAGAGAGGGGGGAGACAGAAAATTTGAAGCAGGCTCCTTGCTATCAGCACAAAGCCCAATGTGAGTCTTCAACTCACCAACCATGAGATCATGACCTGAGCAGAGTCGAACACTCAACCTACTGAGCCACTCATGGGGCCGCTGAGATGGCATTTTAAACAGGCACAAAGCACCATCTATATACAGCCTACTCTGAAAAAGAGACAACATTGATGATCTATTTCCCCAAGGAACAGTCTCCCGCACTGGGCTGCTATCATCATATCTAGGTGCAGATACTATCTGGGACAACAATAACACATTAGCTAATGAAACTACTCCTCATACATCCTCCAGATGGGAAGGACTGCATAACCATGATGTGATTTGTTTGGTGAAGACACAAAGACCTGACAAGGGCTGGAATCAGAGCTGGTGTCACCACAAGGAACCTTGGGCAATAAGTGGAACACTCCAAGTCCAAGTTTTCTCATCCATAAAAAGGAAGCCCTGTTTGATTCATAGGGCTTTTGCAAGGTTCAGATGAATACATAATATGAATGGGTACTGTGTAAGCTCTTTCACAAATGACAAAGTGCCATAAAAATACAAGTTACAATAGGGGCGCCTGGGTGGCTCAGTTGGTTGAGCGTCCGACTTCAGCTCAGGTCATGATCTCATGGTCTGTGAGTTTGAGCCTCGCATCAGGCTCTGTGTTGACAGGTCAGAGGCTGGAGTCTGCTTCAGATTCTGTGTCTCCCCTCATTCTCTGCTCCTCCCCTGCTCACACTCTTTCTCTCTCTCAAAAATAAACATTAAAATAAATACAAGTTACAATGATATGACTACGAAGACAAATAATAACATAACAAATATCAAGATGCTTCATGGTGACCATCAATTTTTCAGTTGTATCTTGGTAACTTTGGGATTGAAAGTACACCTCTTAGATTTGGAATGGTTAGGGCTCTGTACTCTTACTTTTTGGAAAAGGAAAACTGAAATTTATGTACCTAGAGTCATGTTATTTTGGTAGCAAATACCCCCCCTCCCCAAATTCCACACGTGGTCAGATTAAAGGGCTAATGGTAATTAAAGACTGACACAGAGTAAATAAGATTAATATTAGAATAGGATTACATGAAAAAAGATTTATATCAAAGGACTCTTTCTCTTTTCTCCCAAACAAGGCCTAGGACACGAAAGAAGTCTTACGCAAAGCATTTTAAGCCTCTCAGTTATTTTTAAAGACGTTGAAAAATATGACGAGGTAAGCACAATTTGTTTTTTTACTGGAAAACAGCAGAAGTTATAATATGCTTAAGGCATCACTCTACATATAGGAAATCGTACTATCCTGGAAGGCAAATTGGGTCATGGATGTCCAGGAACTTGAAAATCTTGTTTCGAACAGTTAGAGGAGAGAATGTACAGCAGACAGAAGGAAAAGGTGTCTAAAGCCATCACAGCAAATTTCAATATCAATATAAGCTTTTTTTAATGTGCTTCTTGTTGAGCTACAAGTGTTCTTAATACAGTATTTTGTACAAATGCATCAGATATATATCTTTGCATGTACACAGTCATCTAATTATGATATAGAGTCATAAAATTCACATACACACACACACACACACACAAACACACGCACATGCACATGTGTGGAGGTCCTGGGTGCTGGGTGCTTTTATCATAAACCATCAGGAATATGATCTAAGACCAAAATAAAAAGTAAGATATGAAGACAACTACTGGAGGAAAAACTTTTTGTTTTGCTTAAAAGTTGGGAAGTACTTTCATTACACATATATGCTTGTCCCTAATTCACAAATGAGGAAAGAGTATGGTCTTCAGAATTACAGCACCAGGATGGCAAAGAACTTTAGAAACCAAGGAGCCTGGGAAGGTGCAGGGACCTTGGATTTTTCCTTTGAGAGTTATTCTGAAGCTCAAATGCAATGTCTGTGAAAACACTTTGGGAATTTTTACTTAAACCAACAAAAAGGAGCATTTTCAGTGGGGATGTCCAATGGCTCTGACATCTAGGAGCGGAGTCAAACTCAGGACTCAGCGGAGGTTTGCCCTGGGCTATGGGGGTGAAATGATACCTGGGCAAGAGGGACCATGGGACGTCACATGGCCTTTCTGGGACTGCATCACTCTGGTTTGTTATATTCAGTGTTTGTATCTCAAAACTCAAGGTCTATGCCTTTGGCATAAAGGTCAGGGATACTTTTATCACTTTCCATCAACAAATGTTCCTTGAGTACCTATCAGGTACTTGGCACTGTTTCAATACAAATACAAATACAAATACAAATACAAATACAAATACAAATACAAATACAAATACAAATACAAATACAAATACAAATACCTGTATTTGTACAATACTGGTCAAGAGGATTGAAGAATAAAATACAAGGTTATATGCATTGGAGAATTCTGTAAAGAATGGAAAATAAGGCACAGAGTGTCTCCTGGGTCCAGATCTCTGTTTGGGCTGCCATACAAAATTGTCATAGTATTACTAACACTTATATAACACTTGACAGTTTGCTACATAAATGCTAGTATCATGACAATGCTACTTACAACAGACTTTCTTCAGGGTCTATATCTCTAAGCAGCTTACATCCTAGAGCTACACTGGTTCTCACAGGACCCACCCAAGTACTTAGCCACTGCTGGTAGTTCTGTGAATCTGCTACGGGAAAAAGAGCACAAGTTTGCAGGTCAGACAACAACCAGTTTGAGCATGAGCTTTCCTGGGTACTGGGGCCCAGAAGCCTAGAAGGCCTGGAAGATACTTAACTTTTCAGAGCCTATACTGAAAACCCGGGGAAGATGACAAGAGTCTCTATTTATCAGGTGTACTGAACATCAGAGATGTTGCCCATGAAAGCACTTTGCAAAGGGTCAAGTGCTATATGAACATTACGAGTAGCAGGACAATTCCATAGGCCACTTCAAACACATGTGGATCTGTGCTCTGATGGGATCAGCTGATGCATTTTATGTCCTATATAGAATTCTCAAGGGTACACCACTCTGAATTTTGTTCTTATGTTTAATGCTTATAAACTTTTCAGATGATTTGATTTTCTACAACGGGTCAGGACCACCTATCCCATTCCAACGAGGCATATCTATCCACAAAATAGCTTACACGCCACTAAAAATCTAGAGAAGCATGTTAAATTCCCAAGCTGTTTGAAATGGAACTATGTCATTGATATCCAGATGGAATCCTAGTTTTTCTTCTCCTTCCCATCTGATAGTTTTAATTAGGATTATCTACTACAACAAACTGATCAATTAAAAGTGACCTGTGATAAATCCCAGTATTTATGACAAGGCAAAAAGATTACAGAAAATTCCTAGTACTTATGAGTGAAGAGAATTCCTTGAGATAAGTTTCTACTTTGTAGTATATTTTAAAACACCATTTTCCAGGAATTTACTGTGCCACAAGCCATTGTGAGGAAAACTGCATAGAGAATATATTGTACAGGTATAGAAGGACCTCAGAAAATTACATGATATTTATAATTTATAAAAAGAGACCACCAACTAACCCTCAAAACACCCCCCAAACCAAAGGGGTAATCTCTTAAGGAACACATCTGGAAGAGAGAGCAAATGTGACTAGAGACAGCACAAGTATTAAACAACCCTAGGCTTCACAGTCTGGCTCTAGTGGAAAGTGTTGATTTAATCTTACAAATTTATTTAGCTAAATTGATCACTGAAAGGCTAAAACCCTTCAAAATATATTGAAGTCTGGATGAATTTTCTAGTTCAGCTACACATATTGATTACGTTAAGCAGATAACTGCCATATCTCTGATTTCTGTTATGAGATACAGACACAGAAAATCAAGAACCAGATGCTAAAAGACAAAAGAATTCAAAAGTGAATGTGCAAGAATTATTATACAAAAAAACTAATCAATCTGTGAACGTTTAGAGACAATGAGTATTTTCAATAACAAAAGACACACAAAAATGCAGCTGCCTAATCACAACTTATGTTCACTGTGCAGTCAGATACTTTAACATTTATTAACAGAAGCCTAAAAGTTCACTGTAGATCACTCTTGGAGTAGATAAGGCAGATTTTAATTAAAATATCACCTTTGGGGGCACCTGGGTGGCTCAGTCAGTTAAGAGTCAGTATGTCTCTTGATTTTGGCTTGGGTCATCTCATGGTTCATGAGTTTAATCCCTGCATCAGGCTCTGTGCTGTCAGAGTGGAGCCTGCTTGGGATTCTCTCTCTCTCCCTCTCTCTCTGCCCCTCCCCCACTCATGCACACACACACACACACACACACACACTCTCTCTCTCTCTCTCTCTCTCTCTCTCTCTCAAAAAAAAAAAAAGAACAACAAAAACCAAAACCAAAAAGATCACCTCTGACAAATAACGAGACTTATAGGGACTAATACCTAAACCAAGACATTTATGTCTTATTAAAACCGATGTCTCTAGTTTTTTATGTGACAAAGCAGTGTAAAGAACTGCCTAGCACCAAAGAACATTTTAGAGCTAAGGAGACATCCTGACTAATCTTTTAGACAGGTGAGAAAACCCAGGTACACAAGGGACAGTAAATATCAGTGTGACACTAGATCCTGATTTTCCAACAATTCCTTGTAGAGATCTTTAATTACATTGGACGGTTGCTCCAAAAAGTTTGAAGAAGTCTAGGCTGAATTTTGAAGAGGAAACTGTTTTCCCAGAGGCAATCTCCTAGAAAAAATTGTAAAATCTGTAGGTAGATGTCTCCATTTAGGATAAGGTGCTGATTACATTTAGTGAAAGGAAGAAGCAGAGTATTAATGGTTTGTAAAATTCAACAAACAATGGCTTCTGAATTATGCTGATGATGTAGAAGACAATTCTCTGTACTGCTGTGCACCAGCTCACTGGCCATTAATAGCATCTCTTGTGAAGGTCATGGAGGGTCAGACTGGTAAATTATAGCAAGGCTCAAGCTGTCTGAACAGTTGTCATTAAATCACAGATAATTAACAGTTCAAGATAAAGCATTAACTTCAATTTCTGGAGCTTTGCTAGCTCTGGAGATATCCCTGCTTAAATGAGATCTGTGACAGGTACTACGTGCTGAGAGACCTGTTAGAACACTCTTTATTTTGGCATGGCAGGATCCTAAATTGTCACTCAGCAACTCGCAGTAAGCCTAAGAGTAAATGTTTTTGGGGCACCTGGGTGGCTTAGTCAGTTAAGTGTCCGACTTCAGCTCAGGTAAGGATCTCACAGTTTGTGAGTTCGAGCCCTGCATCAGGCTCTACGCTGACAGCTCAGAGCCTGGAGTCTGCTTTGGATTCTGTGTCTCCCTCTTTCTGCCCCTCCCCTGCTCATGCTCAGTCTCTCACTCTCAAAAATAAAATAAACACTAAAAAAAAAAATTTTTTTTAGAAGGTAAATGTTTTTGAACGGTTGTCTGAGTTTTTCTCTACTTCTACCAATCTGAAAGCAGATGGAGGAGAGCACAAGCTTGGGATAGAATTTGGACTGAAGAAGTCTCGTGGAGTAAAACACTTCCTGGCAACAAAGGTGATCTAAGTGGCTCGGGGAAATGTGTGCCTAACTGGTGAATTGGTTAGCAATATGGAGCTTGGACAACAGAAATACCCCTCTGTAGTGAACAGCCAGTGAAAGGAACTGAAGCCAAGGCAAGTGCCTGCATGAAGTAGTCAGAGAACCTGAAATGTGATGTTGCAGAGAGAAAGGAGGATGGCATGGAAGTCTCTTGAAAAGGCTGAGAGACGACCTCTGTCGAACCAGGATGGAAAAGCAATAGAGCAGAACAAAGTCGAAAGAGGGAAAGAGAGACTTCATTTTATAAGATAACCCAAACTACCATCCCTCATTGTAAACCTGTCACCACACTTTGCTGTAGTTTTAAAAGATAATTTGCTGTTCCTGCAGGTAATTCTATGGTTAGATTCCATGTGTTAAAACATGGTCTCTGGGGCAAATCCGACCATCTTCTTCAAACAGATCGTCATGGGGTAAAGGTTTGTGTCCAAACTTCTTATCACAGCATTTTGAGCCCTTTCATGTCTCTTTCCTTACTCATTTCTTACTTTGTCTCACCTTCAGACCTCACACTTGAGCCACAAAACTACATCTGAGACTCTAAGCTGCTGATACAGGTTTATGTCCTTTGGACTTTTATTTTTTTTGGTACTCTACCCTCCACCCAAATCACCATCCCTTCCCCAACCCCTTAGGGATCTGCTGTGTTGAAAACTCAACTAAATCATTAGGTCATCTATAAAGCTTTTCTATACCTCTATCTGAGGGAGAACTGACTACCCATTCTTTTGTGCCCCGGTGCACCCCACAGATGCCTAGACCATAGTAATGATTACACTTTATGGCATCTGCTTAATTGTGTGTTCATCTCAACTGGACTGTGAACTCCTCCAGGTTAGGAACCCTCTTTGCTTTATTATTATAGAAACAGTTCTTAGCATTGTGCTTGCATAGAGAAATTGCTTAATGTTTGAAGAATAAAAAATAAATGAATGAATGGGTCAACCAATCACTGGATAAATATATACTTGAAGACACTGCCCTTAATGATACTACTGTGGCATTATAATTGCTT